GCCGCTCTTCATTTGGCTCCATACAGTAGTCCATATCTTTTCAATTGGTATTTGATACCATAATTGTTTTATTAAACTCTTTATAGAGCAAATTGCTTTGAAAGCTGTCAAAGTTTTTTGCAAACGTACAAAATACTGCAGTGCATGCAAAAAGCAAATTATTTTCATGAAGTATCTGTCAGTTGAAGTCGTCAGTTCATCTCACAACAACAAATTTTAAATTTGACCAATCAGTGTTCGCTATTCACGACAGTCCGCTATATTTTGAGATCAGTGAGGATGACCACCCATGAACGGTGAACCATGCGCCCGCGATATTTTATGAACTTTAGACTCCGCTAATGCTTTCGTTTCCCCGGGTGTAAATAGCCGGGGGGAATTAGTACCCTCGCACGGCGCTTCGCGCCGCCGGCTCGGGGATGACTGAAAATTGCAAATTTCGCAGGGCTATATTTTCCGCATTTTACAACTTTTCGTAACGAAACTTTGGAATATTACAAATTTTGTGATATCAAAGATGTTGTCTGCCGCGGCTGGGTCTCGAACTCGCGACCTTCGAATTACTAGATCGACGCTCTACCTACTGAGCTACACGATAAGACGGATTTAAGACTGGAAATTATGAAATATATACTGAATGTCATAAACATACTCGTTTACATTATTTCAGCATCGAACAATACTAGTTCTGCAAGTGTTATGTTAGTTGTGTAATTGTACACTCTGTAATATGTTAAGATGAAAATGTTCTAGAGTGTGTATTATATAATTTCCATACCCAGCGCAAGCAGAAAGATGTTGTCTGCCGCGGCTGGGTCTCGAACCCGCGACCTTCGAATTACTATATAATACACACTTTAGAACATTTTCATCTTAACATATTACGGAGTGTACAATTACACAACTCAACATATATATATTTATATATATATATATATATATATATATATGTATATATATATATATACATATATATATATATATATATATATATATATATATATATATATATATATATATATATATATATATATATATAATATATATATATATATATATATATATATATATATATATATATATATATATATATATATATATATATATATATATATATATATATATATATATATATATATATATATATATATATACAGGGTGTATCAAAAAAAACTGAACAGATTTAAAATTGCTCTCAATTTCGCAAAACACCTATTTGTATCCGGTTTTTTATATATATAGCTTCTTTGGGTACTTATAATGTAAAATAATGAAAAAAATTTCTCGAACTCAAATTTTGTGAACCAGGGGGTGTGTCTTTTCCAACAAACTAAAAATGGCTCGCGCACAAAATTTAAAAGCTGCAATCATATTTTGAGTTAACAGATGGAAAAGTTGTCGGGATTTTAATTACTGTACAAAATTTCAGACAATTTGGTTTAGTTTAAGCCCCTTAACTATTCACGCAAAGTTACAATTTTCCCGAAAAATCAGCTATTTGCATGCTTAATTAATGCATTTGCCTAATTTGCATATGTCGGCAATATGCAAATTAGGTAAAGGCATTAATTAAGCATGCGAAAGGCTGACTTTTTAGAACAAAATGAATAGTTAAAGGGCTTAAACTAAACCAAATTGTCTGAAATTTTGTACAGTAATTAAAAACCCGACAAATTTTCAATCTATCATCTCAAAATATTATTACAGCTTTTAAATTTTGTGCGCGAGCCATTTTAATTTTGTTGGAAAAGACACACCCCCCTGGTTCACAAAATTTGAGTTCGGGAAACTTTTTTCATTATTTTACATTATAAGTACCCAAAGAAGCTATATATATAAAAAAACAGATACAAATAGGTGTTTTGCGAAATTGAGAGCAATTTCAAATCTGTTCAGTTCTTTTTGATACACCCTGTAGATGGGTATGATATTATAAGAAAAGATAGGTCTAGAAATGGTGGTGCACGTGGAGTTTGCATTTACCTACGTAGTTCTATAAACTATCAAATCAGACAAGATCTTACACCAGCCGATCTAGAAGCTAGATTCATAGAGATAAATAACTAAACACATAGCTGACCATTCAAGGCATTTTTTAATACCATGGACTGGTGGGGCATTTGCCCCAATGGGCCCCTTCCTCTGCCCCACCGCTGAAGAAAAAAGGCTTATTGCCCAAAAAGTCAGAGCCCTAGGACCTGTATTGAGTAAACGAGTTTAACATTGAAAAGAAGTTTATGTTGTGTTTGAATGTTTAGCATGCAAATTATTACAAACTTCACCATTAAAACTTTGTTATGAGAATCTGAGATTTTTTTTTAATGTGTTTTCAAGATGCAGGGAAAACTCGTGCCTGCGGTACTCAGCTCACACCTTCGGCGATGCAATTTTTTCCCCGTAGACAGTCGGACTCCTCATAGATAGTGGGACGCATCATTGACCCATGTCCTTAAAACATTCAGCGGATACTCTTCTTAGTTATTAGATGCGCTTCCCAGCGTGTCTTGTGCGAGCAATTGGTATGGATTTCAAACTAGTATTACTTGGTTGAGATGCCAAAATATGAGCAGTTCACAGTGGCTTCATATCTTGTGTGGTGATGACATCTGACATATTTTATTCACTTAAATATTCGCCTTTCCCACTTGCTTTTCTCGCTTTTACGGTAACTCTTTTTTGCAACTCTTTTAATTTCTTTGCTTTTGTGAACTCTTTGTAAGTTTCATTGTTTTTTATCCTTTAATTCTGAACAAACATTGCAATATCTCCCGGGGCGATTGCAGAGTACCCGTCCATATTTTAAGCTACTCGATCCTTTCAAACATCATGGATACGAATAGGAGGTAGTAATTAATACATCTATATTTATTCTCAATGGAGTAATAATAAATAGATTGATAGATTAAAATCCTATGGTGGTAAAGGTAGCTACGAGCATACAGTGACTCAGCATTAATATATTAAATTGTCATAGTGTTAAAGGTACAGTAGCTCTATATTTTAGTAGTAGTAATTTATACGCAGTCAAATCTTTATTTGGAGAATAAAGGCTTTGTGCAATACAAATGTGTTCTTTACTTCAATGTCCCGTCGAATAAAAGCGATATTAATTTCATGGACAGCAAGGAGACTGTACGTAAGGAGTTAGACGACCTTTCCTTTTACGATTTAATATGTGATGCGCAGGCGGGCCTACATGGTAAATCCAAGATGGCGGTACAACAGGGCAAAAAGACTATAAATTCTATTACGAAAATCAGGATTTTTCCTTTTTTGCCGTCGCATTGTTTTGAAACTTATTCAAATTTTATGGTAAAGAGAAACTTACCGCGAAGATTTTGAGCATATATATGATTGAATTGGATGAAAACTCGCAAAATTATCCATCGATAAAAGTTCGTGTATAGTACTGATATAGTACTATATATGTAACTTGTACAGTTTTTCTTTAATTTTTGCTCACTATTTGCATAAAAAGCAAATTATAACAGACCATAGATGATAGACCCTCATCCAGTGCTCTCATCAGTTTACTTCTCTAACAAGCAAGGGGGGGGGGGTACATAACAGTTCATTTTTCACAATTATGAGGACAGAGCAGATGATGATGAGAGATGCAAGTATAAAACACCATTCGCAAGGCTAGATGTTAACATAGCACAGTATTTCTGGCAATAAAACGCTCCAACTGACCAACTGACCATTTCACACGAACTTTTATCGATGGATAATTTTACGATTTTTCATCCAATTCAATCATATATATGCTCAAAATTTTCGCGGTAAGTTTCTCTTTACCATAAAATTTGACCGAATAAGTTTCGAAACAATGCGACGGCAAAAAATGCAAAAATCCTGATTTTCGTAATAGAATCTATAGTCTTTTTGCCCTGTTGTACCGCCATCTTGGATTTATCATGTAGGCCCCGCCTGCGCTAGGTATGCGTGCGGCAATCTAGATCTCCTATATCTATGCTTTAAACAGTGGGAAATTACCAGCCTGCTTTGCGCGCACTGTTTGCCAGCGAATCGGGCCTTTCAGAACCGGAAATTGGGCTGGAACACGCGTTCGTTCTTTTGATTCGGCAAAACATAGCCTATCGAAGGGAAGATGACTGTGAAACTCATTAGAATAACAATATAACTCATTATCTATGTTAACAATATAACTCATTATCTATGTTAGTCAACGTTTATTCATAAATCTGGTCGTTTCACCGTCACGTGTGTATTGTATTTTTACCAAATCCACCAATAGCAATTTCCAGTTTCCCTATTAATTGTTGGAGTCACGGATAGGTGACTTTCCTAAAACATTGCTATTGGGTAGTTGAGCAAGAATACAATACACACGTGACGGTGAAGGACCAGATTTATGAATAAACGTTGACCAACATAGATAATGAGTTATTGTTATTCTAATGAGTTTCACAGCCATCTTCCTTTCGATAGGCTATGGGCAAAAGAAGCACGACAAATTGATATACAGAAGTAAAATTCGCACGGTGCTCGTTTGCAAAAACAAGTTAGCAACTGCAAACTGTCGTTCTGTCACTTTCATTTGATCTGATCCGTGAATCGGCCTCAACGGCCTTTGATTTTCTTTGTCTTGTGATTTCTCTGGTGGAACTAATTAGAAAAGACCATTGAAAAGACAAACAAAGAAACATTCCGCCTAATGAGTAATGAAAACAGGCTTTACTGGTCGTTCTTTTTGCGTGTGAATTCCCCCCATCGAGAACGTATTTGTAATTTACCATAACAATTGTTTCCCCGCTCATTAGTGTGAAAACGACCCAAGGCGTTTATATAAAACAATAAAAGTATGACGGGTTAAAATCTTATCACTGCTGTGGAATTCATTTGCAAGGCAACGAAGCCAAGATATTTCATAATCGATTCACTTCTCTTGCTTACAACAGCTACGTTTTATAAGTCAAGCTTTGACACGATTAATTTACTTGTTCTTACTGAGCTAAGCCTAAGGAATCTAAACAATTATGAAGGTAAGGTGATAAGTATTCACTGTTTACATTTATTTGCACTGTGTCTGTGCTGCGAGAGTCGACCGTGCCATTGGCATCGCACTATTCCTACACTGGCACAAACCGTGTATATAAGACTATAAGTGGTAGCTGTTTGTTGTAGTATTTTACAGTAATTACAGGCAAGCGCGATGGAGAATTCCGTTGAACAAATTGTGATCAAAACCACCAGCAATTTCTTAAAGAATAAAGCCAAAGGCATGTATTATTTCAACAATATATATTATATGCAGGGTCAAGAATTACTGACATGCAAGGGACGTTTTAGTGTCAAATCAGACGTGAGATTGTTAGTCGCTTGCCTAACACTGAAACCGTTCCGGCAATCAGACGAAATTTAGTTAGAACGAAGATCTCGCAAGGTGTTGTAATATATCAAATTCAAAGTGGCACGTGCCAATATAAATAAGAAAGCTTCGGAAGAGCCGACGAAGCTAGGGCCTTCGCCAGGCCAGAGTTCGCTCGAAACATCGAAGTTCTCCTTGTATTTCTTAGCTATAGTTAGCATCCATTGTTACTCGATGAAACCTTTTTTAAGACGAAATTGCATGAACTTGGTTTGCTATCATCTTTCTTATATTATTTGATATTGTATTCGAAATATGCTTGACCAGGCAGTAGCAATCCTACGCGCTGTATCTTGAACTTGCTAACTACGCCTACGGCCCTACGCCTACGGACTCTGACCACATAACTTGATAATTTTCCTCAACAACAATCGACATGTCAAACTTATAGAAAGGGTTTATACAGGGACGCCGGAGCGAGGGTAGGGCACAGGGGGGCAATGTTGACGTAAGGGCAATCACTAATTAATATTTCGTTTCCGAAAATTTTTCCGGGACCTTAATTCACCAAAACAAGGGCAAAAAATTTGAAAACACAATTTTTGACACAATATTCCAGAAAATTTCACGTATATTTCAATATTACGTACATTTCACCCGTAATTCATACTTTTTAATCGTTGTACCTTATATTTTTTGTGTTAGAATTTTTATCTATAAGGGCACTTTCGCCCCCCTACCCCCCTTACTAAAGGGCAAGGGGGGCGATGCCCCCCCTGCGCCCCCTTTCCAGCGTCCCTGGGTTTATAGGGGATACGAGAGAGGAATTTAACAAAAATATGTAACAAGGACACAAAACATGATGGGAAAACACAAATACCATTACTGTAAAAAGACAGTTGTAGTTGGACATTTCAGAGTTGAAATAACTTTAAGGTACACACGTAAAAATCTCATATCTTGTAACAAGTCTGCCAACAAGCCGTCAACAAGATGTATTCGCACTGCTTGTCACAAGTTGTCAACAGGTTTGGAACAACTTGTTGACAACTTGTAACAACCTTGTCGAAATTATCAGATTTGTTGCAAAGTTGTTCGGACAAGTCCGTTACATGCTTGATATAACAAGATTGTTACAACCTTGTGTTGACAACCTTGTAACATCCTTGTTATATCATGGTTGTATCAAACTTGTTAGCACAGTCTTGTAACAAGGCTGATAATGCCATCAAGCTTGTTACAAGTTGTTAACAGCTTGTTTCAAACTTGTTACAACAAACTGGGAACAAGCAATGCGAACACAACTTGTTGTTACAACTTGTGCGTTTTTGCGTAAGGAAAGCTACTGAGCAATCTTTGATAGAGAATTTGTTTAATTAAATTGAATTTAACAGACTTATGGCTCAATGAGGTCATTTTTCTGCTATTGTAAGTCAGTCACCTCTTCTTAGAGGACATGCAGTTGAACGCAGAATTGTGTTTAAAAGTCATCACATAGATCATAGCCTATCGAATTAGGGAAGATGGCTGTGAAACTAATTAAAATAACAATATAACTCATTATCTATGTTAGTGAACGCTCGTTCACTCATAAATCTGGTCCTTCACCGTAGCAATTTCCAATTTCCCTATTGTAATTCGAGTCGGGTGACTTTCTTAAAACATTGCTATTGGTTAGTTGGGCAAAAATACAATGTCAATGCATACGCAATGGTATGAATAAACGTTGACTTAAGGCTAATTTCCACTCAGGAAAATTATCCGTGGATTGGAACGGACAAGAAAATTTTTCTTTCTTTGTGTTAAAGTCATTAGTTCCAACCCAGAGCTCACAGGACAAAGAAAAATTTTCTTGTCCGTTCCAATCCACGGATAATTTTCCTGAGTGGAAATTAGCCTTAACATAGATAATGAGTCATATATATTGTTATTCTAATGAGTTTCACAGCATCTTCCCTAAAACTCTAAAAAGCTGGGAAATGGGATCATAATTCCTTTTTGTTTTGGGGCAGTTCCCAGGGGTATATACACGATTCAGTAAAATATATTTCTCCCAATAATGGACTTCACTCTTATTTTTTCCAGATTTTAACCATTGCAAATTTTTTCGTGTTGTTTTTCTCTGTGGAGGCTAATTCAGGTTCGTGTGAAAAATAATTTCATAACTACAAGTTTGTTCAAAACTACAGATAACTTTCGGACTGGTGATTTTGTTGTCTAATCGTACTTTTTTTGTTTTTGGATGGAAATGAAGAACCTTGGAGAAACGTTGGTGATTGTGGAAAAGAATTGAGTAAGTAATGTTAGGCACAGTGTATTTTATATTTTAGTTGTCAAGGTTAATTAAGCTTGAGCTCAGGGGCGGCACTTGTTTACAATTACGTACAAACGGTTTGTTTTGGGGTTGTTTTTTTGTGTTGGTGTAATGTACTCAGGTGAATATGATGCTTGTGATGTTACTCTGAAAACGTTGATGTTACGCTTGGAAAATATGCCTGACCACGGTGGGAATCGAACCTACGACCTTTGGAATACCAGCCAAATATACTGAGCTACGCGGCCAGGCCGGTTCGAGTTCCTTCGATATCGATGTAATCATGATTTTTTTGTTGGTGGCGTTGGGCTAGTATTCCAAAGGTCGTAGGTTCGATTCCCACCGTGGCTAGGCATGTTTTTCAAGCTTGCCCGGTGTGGATATACACTCAGAGTAACATCACAAGCATCATATACGTACAAATTGTTTGAAAAATATTTTCGTATATTTGTGGTATAGTGCTAAAACAACTTTATTCTCAAACAAAACTATTCACCTCACTGTCGATAAATAGTGCAAGGATACTCCATCTCAACGCTTTGCGTTTCGTTGAATATCTTTGGGGAAGCCTCACATATCGATTTTGTCCATGAGAAATGTCACATGGACGTTTCTCTGGAGACCCCACCCCCACCCTTTAGAAATGTCGCACATAGTTATCGATATTTTGTTCTTATAGCACACATAAGGTAATTTTCTACGGTTGGCTATTGGCGATGCTTCCGCGAGGAATATGTCATCTTCTGCTGACATATGTTTTTTATTAATATATGAACTTTACAATTTCCAACGTTTCTCAAAACAACTTTTTCGCATGAAATATTAACAATTTAACTTTAAGCACGTTTTTCTTGAAATTTGAGTGTTTTCAATGCAAGGAAGGCGTAATAATATAAATGTATAGAACAGGTATGGTAGTACGAATGTATAGACTGGTCGGTTTGTATCAAGTTGTTTTCTTTTTTTGATGCTTTCGAAAAAAAACTATCGAATTTTTCCATGATGTTTTACAGAGAAACGTCACAGCTATGTACCTCCCCCCACCCCCAAACGAACATATGACGTTTCTCGTGGACAAAATCGATATGTAAGGCTTCCCTTGCACTATTCACCTCGACGAATAATTGTTAACTATTTGCATTTCCGACTAGCATGCAATCCAGCATGCCAACTGAGATGTCTCGAAATTCACAACTACTACCGCAGTCTTCACAACTCACCGCCATTGTTCTGCGATCCGACATTGGCCAAATCTGCTCAAAAGTGGGTGGACCAACAAGCAAGAGATGGAAACATGCATCATTCAGAGTGGACGGATAAATTTACTGAGTCGATTTCTTGGAGAGGGGAAGGATGGCTAGGTAGATATATTACTTATATTATTATTATTATTATATAACTGTTTACCATCAGTTTTACGTCAATCAAATCTCTCTATTAGTATAGGTAATCATGCGATGGCGAGTACAATTAGGGATTAATAGTACGAGTGATGTTTGGAAATTTTGCCAAAATTGGACGAGCCGCCGGGGCGAGTCGAATTTGGCAAATTTCCAAACATCACGAGTACTGTTAATCCCTAATTGTACGAGCAACATCGCATGATTACTTGTTTATTATTGGCATATGACAAAATTGGATACATAATATCCGTCAACATAATATTCTCTCGCCAAAGCCCAGTCCTGCCAGACATTCAACCAAAATTTGGTGCTTTTGTTCGTATTTTCATTTAGTTCTTTTGTTAAAGCAAAATTTGGTGCTTTTGTTCGTATTTTCATCTAGGTCCTCAAGGGCAATTTCATTTCACATTTGTGTTCAAAATACCTTTCCGCCATTTTGTTTGTTTTGGGAAAATCATTAACTGTACTGCAGTACAATTAATGAAATAATTGTACTCCTTTCAACCAATCAGCATCCAGTAATGTTGTCATACTAATGATAAATCAATTTAAATGTAATCTCTTTAAACATTATTAGAAAATGTCTGAAGAAATTTATGACATTGGTGTGCCACAAACTTTCAAAACAATCTGTGTTATAAATGTCATTCATGTCGTCCCTTGTCTAGTCTTAGAATGTTAGGGTTTGTAATCCAAGTGAATATATATACATTTTAAGACCTGACCAGGAACGACTGCGAAAAATGCAGCACAAGGTCCTCTGGTAGGAATTGAACCTGCGGCGCTTAAGTTTTCATGTATATATAGGTATTCGGGTGTGCGGGCTGCGATAAGGTGGACTTCAATTAAATCGTGTTGTTAATAATGATCACTTATATATGTATTCTGTATAAATAGTTAAGGTTACCCGTAAAGGAGTGTTCATCTCTCTGGGTATAACCTGTCATTTATTTGACAAAGATTGTAATATAAAAAAATAAAATTAGTAAATATCGTGATTCTTAGACATCTCGTTCGATAGAGTCTTCGCTCGAAACGTCGAAATTCTCCTTGTATTTTCAGGTAGTTGCATCCCTATCAACGAAGGCTTTTTGTAGATGAAATTTGAATATAGGCGTACATTTCTATGGAAAAGATGTACATTTCTACTGAAAATGATAACATTTATACAGAAGAGTTTAATTTCTAAGGGATACCACTTGATTTGTAGGGAACGAGTGTCATTTTCTACGGAAGAACCTGGGGCGTAGGAACCGGGGGAGGGGCAAGGCGCCCCCCCAAGTTTTCAGAAGATACAAAAAGTGCCCTTTTTCCGGTGGCAAATTTCCCTTTCAGATTGCATTTTTGACTCACGGATGTCGCAAAGCAACATCTGGGAGTCTTTGTGGTTACTTAAATGTGGGGCAGTTAAAGAATGAGAATTGACCAGTCTGCTTTGCGCACACTCTTTGCCTGCGAATCGGGCCTTTTAGAACCAGAAATCGGGCTGGAGCACGACAAATGGCACAATTTACACAGTACTCGTTTGCAAAAACAACTGCAAACTGCTTTAACAGCTTAATTCTTCCCTCCCCCCCGTCGCCATCATTTCCGGGAAAAATTTTTTAGGTGCCCCTTTTCATTCCAAAAGTGCCCCTCGAAACCCGGGCCCCCCCCCCCCCCAACTTCCTACGCCGCTGGGAAGAACTGTATCCCTAACGGGTCACCGTAGTGTTCGCAGGTTTAAAGGAAACAACTTTCAAAATATAAAGACAAAATGTCAATGAAAATAGGAAAAAACCTGGTTTCCATGTGGTCGTAACGGTCGTAAAGATTGAGTCACAAATCACGTTCTTTCTTATCAGCCGAAATACAACATTTCAGAATCGAAAATACGCGGAGTGATTATAACTAGGGAATACTTATGATTTATATGTGGTAGGTATAAACTACAGCATGACGTCATGGCGTTGAATATGATTTTTCATATGACGTCACTCCGTTGAATATTATGTCAAAACGTTAACTCTATATTTGGTCGGCTATTGAGTGGATATGGGGATTTCACAATTGGCTGTTAGCCATGCAATCGGAAACCATAAATCTTTGAAATAAATAATAACGTGACTATCTGCCTCAGCTTCGCTTCGCTAGATAACATTGTCCTTGGTCTAAATAATTTTTGGCCTTCTTGATATAATGTTCAGCCTCATGCAAAAATTCTTGTTTGCCGTTTGATGGTCTATACGGTTTGATTTGTTGTCGTTGTCGATGATGATGACGACGACGACGACGTCGTCGTACATTTGCATTATCCTGTTACTGTCAGTAACAAGTTTTTGTCGTCGTTGTCGTTGTAGTTTGTTGTTTTGACGCTGTTGTTGATGCTGATGATGTTGTTGGTGATGATGATGTTGATGATGATGATGATGTTGACGTTGTCAACTTGTTGCATTGAACTATAAATAACTGGAAGGCTAACTCCTATATAGTATGAGCACTTTGAATATGGCAATATTTTTGCCAATTTTTAAATTATTCCGACCTTCAAACGTTCAATCTTCTTGAAACTTCGCATACAGATGTATTTTGCATGGGTTTAAATAATTCCTGAGGTATGACATTTTCGTTTTATCTTAAACTTTCAAAAACTCAGAAAAAACTGCAGTCAAAACGCGCGGTTTTTCTGACCGTTCATGCTTATGGTCGTGTTTTTTCGGGTTTTTTTTTTGCTAATTTGTGATTTGTTTGCTTTGCGAATATTAAATTCATTTATCATACTACTGATATAAATTAAATTCGGTGGTATAACTAATATTTTGGGGCAAGATTTTTCTGATAAGAAAATGTGCATATTTTGAAAAATTTTTTTTAAAAAGGACTGGGTCTACCTACAAAAAAGCTTCAAGCACGGCTTCAACTCCCCCCCCCCCCTGACTTAGCCTTCCAGTTATTTATAGTTCAATGACTTGTTGTCGTTACTGCTTCTGTTGTCGTCATTTTGTTGTTGCTGTTAACTTTACTTTTGTTATTATTTCGTAATATATAGGCATGAACCAAACGGAAAGCGCGATCGCAGGGGCTGTTAGAGGATGGTATTCTGAAATAAAAAACCATTACAACTACGTTACTGGCACGGGCAATGGTGTTGTGGGACACTTCCAAGCGGTCGTATGGAGCAGTACTACCAAACTGGGGTGTGGTATCAATATACAGTCCGGTGATGGGACTTACGTCACTGCGCATTCTTCACCAGCGTCGCACGCAAATGTAGATCGTGATAAACTAGCACCACTGAACGTCAAGCCAAGAAAAGCACCAGGTGTGTGTTGCGCACGTACGTATTATGTACATTAAGGCTAATTTCTACTCAGAAAAATTATCCGTGGATTGGAACGGACAAGAAAATTTTTCTTTGTCTTGTGAGCTCTGGGTTGGAACTAATGACTTCAACACAAAGAAAAATTTTCTTGTCCGTTCCAATCCACGGATAATTTTCCTGAGTGGGAATTAGACTTTAGAGGTGTGCATCGGATTGGATTGGACGTCATAATCCGACAATTGGCTAATGTTTAGAATCCGATCCGAAATTGTCTAATCCGAATCCGATCCGAGTTTTGATAAAGAATTCCGATCCGATCCGAAGAATCCCTTTAATAGAATAAATTTCTTATTCAAGTGGAAATATTTAACCAAATAATAATTATTACATATATAATTAATTTATTTTATTTCGAAGATCGAATTCTGATCCGATCCGACTACGAAACAACTTTATCAATCCGATCCAATCCGAAATGAATATTTTGTTACGAAATCCGAACGAATCGGATCGGATAATTCGGATTCGGATCGGATTTGCACACCTCTAATATACATACTAGAAATACATGCATGTATGAAGCGACCCCTCGTAGGTGTCAGATGTTTCGATCCGAGGTAACCGTGTTACTTACAAGTGACTGGGCCTAAATGAAAACCTGGGTCAGAACATTCTCGTCTTCAGAGCCATTTTCACTCGGTCACTCGTTGAAAATTGGGCTCTGGATTAGAGGACTAAAGGGAGAGATCTAATTGCCTTCTCAGAGAACTGCCATACAGGCCTTAAAATATCTTTTCTAGGGCCGTCTGACAAAATGTCCGGTGACGTTGAGTTTGGGTCGGACATATGTCCGATGACCTTCAGTTCAGTTGTGACTCGGAAATAAGTCTGAATGA